GGGGAGGCCTTCAACGAGTTGGACTGACACGGTGGCTGCGATGATGGGCTCAAGTATAGCAGGGATTGTGGGGCTGGCGCAGGATTGGGCAGTGCTTCATTCTGCTGTGCATGGGGTTGCTATGAGTTAGAAACGACTCGACGGCACAAAAAGAAAAGAAAGAAAGAAAAGAAGCAAGTTCTCTGAAGTAGCTGAAGTTGGTCTGGGCACCACACTTTGAGAACTACTGCTCTGTTGGTGGTTTGGGGTAGGTGGTATTCCAAGGTGCTACCCCTCAGGGTTCACACCATTGATTTAAATTTAAGCATTTGTTAAGCATTTCTAACCATGGTTCTCAACCCTGACTGCACGTGGCATCTCGGGGGAGTTTCAAAAACATACACCCTTACTTATTTAATTATGGTCTGGGGTAGATCTTGTGCATAGATGTTCTCCCCAGGTGATTCTGAAGTACCTGAACCAAAAAACAAAGTGCCATGGAGTTGATTTTGACTCATTGCTACTCCTTAAAATGTGAGGAAGGATACGAGGGCTTGGCACATAAAATGGCTCAGTAAAAGTCAGCTGCACCAGGGAGACAGCTCAAGGAGCAGAAGAGTATGGAGGGATGGACACTGGGAAGAGGTAACTATGGGGAGGAAGTGGGAGGGGAGCTGTTGCATTGTAAATTTTGGTCGATGACATGAGACAAAGTATATTATGTGAACTGCTGTATGAAAAGTGAATTTACTCTGTAAATCTTCACCCAAATCAAAATAAAATTTAAAAAAAAAAAAAAAAAAGCTGCACATGAATCTAAATCTTGCATGATGAGACCTCACAGACCCTGCTCTCTGAAGGGCCGACAAGTGCACAGGTTTTCTGCCGTGGCATTTCCGAGTGGGATCCCTGAAATCTGTTCCTCTGAACATTTTCCAAGAACTTTATTGTGTGCACGCGCCGCCTCTGGCCCAGGCTGGAGGCTGCGGGGCAATGGGACGCAATCCTAAACGTCCGTCATGGTGCCCCGGCCATTCTCCCACTACTGGACCCCTCCGAAGAAAAAGACGCATTCCGGGGCGGTCAGGAAGCAGTGTGTTCCTGGATCCAGGCCAGGTAGTTGGTCACATCTGTGTAAACGCCGGGCTTGTAGCGGTCGCCGCAGCCGGAGCCCCAGCTGACTATACCCCTCAAGATGAGCCGGCGTTCCATGGCCTCGTCCTCACACACCAGCGGGCCCCCAGAGTCACCCTGGGTCAAGGACATGGAGGTCAGCGCCCTCCGCCTGGAGGAGCGCCTAGCCGGGTGGGAGGAAGACGCCAACAAGGACCAAGGGCTCACCTGGCAAGCATCTGTGCCCCCCTCAAGGAAGCCCGCGCAGAGCATGCCGGGGGCGAGGGCGGCTCCGTGCACGTCCGGGGCGGAGCAGCGCTGGCGCGGGATAAGCGGTACCTGCGCCTCCTGCAGAAAGCTGGAATATTCCGCCGACCCTGTGAACAGAGAGCTCCTTCCTCACTCCCTACCCCACGTCGGCCGATTCCTGGGCGATGGATCCGGTTGCACCAGGCGCTTCCAAACCCACTAACATCCTTCCCCCTTCTTCCCAGCAACTGGGAGAGGGAGAGAGTTGCAGTTAACTCCATTTTATAGATGAGGAAACTGAGGCGCAGAGAGGAGCCGGGATTTGAATGAGCAGGGGAGCACCCAGAAATTGAGTGAGTGGGGTGCATTCCCACCTAGCGTCTTAGAATCTTGCTCCCAAACTAGTCTGCTAAACAGCCAGCTGCTTGAGCGCTGGGCCAGCGTTCTGTCTATGCAGACCCACGCCAGACTGAACCAAGAGAAAGTGTGATTCTTCCTGCACCCCCAGGGGATTTTGAGACACCCCCCCCCCCATAGTAAATCCTAGGCACGGAGAGGAGCGGACAGTAGCGACCAGGGCTCTGCATGTTCTCACAAACCACCAAACCAGCGCCACCTGCCACCTGCCCAGTAGGCACCCTGGAAATACCGAAGTTGCAGGCTTCTGCGGCTTACCCAGAGCCAGAGTCTCCAGCCCCTAGCCATTCTGCCTACCCTCGAACTGGTGGCCCCAGCCAGCTACTTCGCAGATCTCATCCTTGGGCTCGGGGGGTCGCTCGGCACCACTCGGCAGGCACACCAGCTGGACGTAAGGCGACGGGCGCGCGCAGCTGCCGTCTGCGCTCTCCTGCAGACGCAGCAGGGCTAACCCCCACAGGGAGAAGCGTGAGGCCCGGACTCCGGGGCCCTGCTCTTTGTCACCCTTTCCCTGGCGCCACAGGGAGGCCCCACTTACCTATGTCGTGCTGATAGCTGGTAGGCGAGAAGGCCTCGTGCAGGATGTAGGCGCGCACCGCCAGCGCCTGGCACTGCTCGCAGCTCTGGTTATGGCGGTCCTGGCCTAGCACCACAGTCAGCTCCTTGGGGTCAGGCCTGCAGGCGGGGTCGGGAAGAAAACGCTCACTCGTGAGGCGGCAACTGGTGTCCTGTGGGAAACTCCCTTCTGAGAGAAACGGGGTTGGGCGCGGGGTCTGGAGTCTCACGCCATCTGGGCCCCCTGGAGAGAGGAGGTAATGGGGAGTGGGTCTTGGCGTTAGGCGAGAGGTACTCGCCGGTTCTGCAGGCAATGAGCAGCAGTCAGCACCCAGCAGGAGGCGATGAGGCTGCCTGCGCAGAAATTGTGGCCCCAGTAAATCGCGGCGATGTAGGGGTGTGTGCCGGGCAGCGCCACCAGTCCCCCGACGATGCGGGTCAGAGATGACAGCCGCTTCCGCAGCCGTTGCCCACAATCCACAGTCTTCTGCTTGGGTGCCTCGTGGGAAGCTGTGGGGGAATCCTGAGCTGAGGACTGGGAGTCCCACAGCCTGCTGAATCCCACTACCCAGTCCCTCCGGGCTCAAATCTCCCGCCCCACGTCACCTACCTGGGGCCTGGGATTGAGACGGGCTCTGGGTGGTGGACTGAGGCCGCTGCAAGGCGGAAGGCTGGGGCAATGGCAGGTCCTGATGATTCAGGGATACCGGAGTCGCAGTAGGAAGCAGAGGCGCCTGGCACTGTGCCAAGTGGCAGTACTCCCATCTCAGCCGGTCGCCACTCAACGCGAAGCACCACGGGCGAATGTCATTGCCCGGGTTACTGAAGCCACAAGACGGGGGCACTGTTAGAACACCAAGAGCCCACAAGGACCCCCGGGGCTGTTGAAAATGCCCCACCCCGCCCCACCCGCCGCACCGGCAGAAAGCGTGGTGGCCCAGTCCCCAGTTCAGCTTTTGCTCTGCAGACATGTTCCAGTAGGTGGCCTCCGAGGTCCATGGCTGACACGACGCCCCCGAGAGCGTGGTCCCAGCGGTTCCTCGGTAGCTAAGTCCGCGGCCGTGGTAGCAGCTCGCCTCAGTGTCTGAGGAGAGAAGGAGCTCCCTGCAGCGCCAGGTGGTGGTGTCCGGGCCGCCCTTCCTGTGGTCCCTCTGACCAGCCTTACCCACGTGGGGGCGGGGCTTCTGCAGCCCCAAGACCCTTCTTACCCACATCACAGATGGGTCCTGCATAACCCGCGGGGCAATGGCACAAGGTGCGGCCTTCGGCCTCCAGGCAACGGCCTCCATTGAGGCATGGATTTCTGCTGCAGGCTGAGAGAAGGAATGAGTTGAGCCCCTCTGGATCTGGAGATCTCTCAGAGAGCGCCCCCTCTTCTAGCTTCACCACTGTGTCCTACCAGCTTCTCCTGACTTGGGCCTTCCTCCCTGCTTTATCAACAGGCTGCTCACCCCCACTGGCCAGTGGCTTGCAGTGGACATTGGGACCTTTGCACTGGCATTTGTCCACACCTGCTGGTCCAAGCCTATGCCACATCTCATCTTCATGGAAGAAGCGCAGAAGTTGAGGCTCAAAGCACTTCTCTGCGAACAGAGGACAGTGGTCTCAGAAAGATAGGATCATGCCAAATCTGGGCCAGGCATGGTGTCCAGTTATCCGGGGGCATCTTCAGTAGGCCAGCTGCCTCTGCTCCCCAGCCCCCTCCCCTGGTCCTCAGCATCCTCCTACCTTTCTCGCAGTGCTTCCCAGTGAGATTGTCTGTACAGAGGCAGTGCGGGCCCTTGGGCGTGTTCACACAAGTCCCTCCCCTCTGGCAGGGGCTGTGTTTGCTGCAGTGGTCTGAGAGAGGGACACAGCCCCCCCAAAGAAGAGTAGCAAACCTGAGTCAGACAGGTGAAGGCCAAGTCTTGACCTCAACTTGCCTGTCTTGAGACCTTAGTACTCCAGGTTTCTGAGCCTTAATTTACTTACCTGTAAAATGGGGCCAGCCCCTCCCAGAACTCTCCCTGTGGATTTTCTAAGGGTACTGAGGGGCTGGGCCCAGAAGCCCAGATGCAGGGTTTCTGATGCTATCTAGGAGAGTCACTAGTAGGGAGGAAAGAGCTTTGAGCCACCCAGAAGCTGTGTGTGGTACCTTTCACTTTCTTAGGCTCCAGGCAGTATGCCCACCTCTGGTCCTGCTCGAAGTTGGGGGTGGTAGCACACCTATAGAAAGCAATAAGGCCTCCCTGCTCAGCCCAGGGGGGTGGTCTGCCTTCCCTATCATGCTATGCCCCCCCCCCATAAGCAAAGTTCCCTGGGCAGACTGTCTCCCAGGGCCCTGCTCCAACTCCTTCTGGGTGGTCTTACCAGGGCAGGTGGCCAGGTCGGCCTCTGTGGATGCATTTGTGGTACAGCTGCCGGTGGTACTGGAAAGGGAAGTGGCAAGGCTCCCCAGTGACTGTGGGAACTGCATGGATAACACACTCCCTGAGGATCTCGCCCATGACGGACTGCCCAGAGTCCCAGGCACCACCCTCAGGGTCTAGGTGGAGAAAATAGCCCTGGAAAAGGTCATTGTGCATTCAAGACAGCGACCTGCTTCAGAAGGTATTCTCATGGAGTCAGACAGTTGGGGTGCATTGCTGACTCCACCTCCTATCTGTGTGACCTGGGAGAAGTCTGCAGATTCAGGGCCTAGGAGACAGCTTGCCACAGAGTTGTTTGTTTGTTTGTTTAAAGTAAAGGTGCTGTCAAGTTGATTTTGACCCATAGCAACTCCATGTGGAAGCAGATCATCAGGTCTTTCTTCTGAGGTACCTCTGGGTGAGTTTGAACTACCAACCTTTCAGTTACTAGCCAAGTGCTTAACTGTTTGCACCACCCAGGGACTCCCTGCTACTGAGTATGTGCTTAATAATTACTTGTTAAATGTTGAAATCACTCGACTACTATGAGCCTTGGTTTCTTCATCTGTAAATGGCAGTAACAATGGTATCTACGTCAGAGGAATATTATAAGGCTTAAACAAGATGATTCCTATAAAGCACTTAGCACTGTGTTCGGTACATAGTAAGTGCTTAAGAAACGTTTACTATTTTGTTTACTATTTTATTTGTAAAGGCATAGTGATGCTTACTAAGGGACAGACTAGGCCACGCCAGAAAAGGGAATGGATGATTCTGAGAAAGAAGAGACCTGGGAAAAGTTGTGGTTTTTTTCTCCCCCCCCCCCCTTGGAAAGACTTCTTCAAGAGAGAAAGGTCTGAGATGGCCTTTTAAGATGCAAATGGGGTGGATAAAGATGAGAGCCCCCCAAGTAGAGGATGGGCAGGGACAGGGCATCAAGGTTGATTCAGGAAAGAGTGAGGAGAGTAGTCTGGCTGGGTGTGAGGGTGATGAGAAGAGGAAGCTGACTGCACCCAGAGTCAGATTGTGCTGGCCCCAAATGCCATGGAAAGGGACTTGGACCTGACCCTACCAGGGCAGGCTCAACCAGGGCAGGCCAGAGTCCAACAAGTTTGTAAGCCCTGGCTCACTGCATGCTCTGGATAAATACTCAGTGTCTGGAAGACTGAAGGTGACAGAGAGCTATGGCAGGGTTTGAGCAGAGGGGAGATGGCAGACACCCACTCCCATCCTTTTCTCTCCTCACCCTACCCTCATCTAAAAATACACACACACTGCTGTCGAGTCGGATCTGACTCATAGCAACCCTTCCTTGGGTTTCCAAGGTGGTATCACTACAGAAGCAGATTGCCCAGCCTTCCTTCCAAGGAGTGGCTGGTGGGTTTGAACCACCAGCCTTCTGGTTAGTAGTTGGCACCACGCCACCAGAGCTCCTTCATCTAAAAAGGAGCTTGATAATAAAAGATAATATGTTAGACCAAAAATATCCCCTGAAATCTTCTTAAAACCAAACACTAGTTTAGTTTAACTGGTAAAGATTATCTGCCTTGAGCACTGTGCTCTTTTGAGAACTATCCACACGGGCTCAAACTGACAACAACAACTCAAAAGATTAGCAGGAAATTTAGGGGGCAGCGAGTCTATGTTAATGGAGGATCAATTCAGGGAAAGGAAGGTGAGAGTGTCTGCACAACTTGAAGACTGTAATCAGTGTCACTGAAGTGTACATGGAGAAAGTGTTGAACTGGTATATGTTCTGGTATGTATATTCTCAACAACAACAAAAAATAAATTTGTAAAAAATGTTAGTATGTTAGAAGCATTCATCACACAGGCTCTGGGCTAAAGGCATGGATTTATGACCACTTTCTCCTTCTAAACAACACTAAAGGTTTACTATTATCGTGCTGGCTTTTCAGATGGGGAACTTGAAGCTAGGAGAGGTTAAGTCACTTGCCCAAAGTCACCCAGCTCATAAAGGAGGAAGCCAGGATTCAGAAGCAGTTGGGCTCCTGAACTCAGCTCTTGAAACTTCTCTTGCCAAACAAGGGCCCTGTGTAGTATGACTAATGCCCAGGAGATCTATTGAGGAAAGAGAAAGAGGGCAGGAGACTGGGGAAATTGAGGAAGACCCTCATGAGCCCAGGTGTGAGGGCTCCAGCAAGTAAACCCCCAAATACCTGCTTGTGCCAGGCTTTGGACTGGGCACTCAGATACAACCCCCTGGTCTCAAGGAGCATTCAGTTCAGTGGTATCAGTCTGGGTCCCCGGCAGCCGTGGACACAGACTGGCACAGAATAGGCACTCAAGTCTGAATGCCACCCAGACACTTCTGAGGACAAGAGTGAAGAGTGTCCAGGATACCCCCTTATCCCAAGGGCCTGAGACACCCTCTGCACATTCCTCGCCATTCTCATTCCCACCCAATGGTGTCTTAGGAGGTGGAGCCAGGCTACTTACCCACTGTGTGCTCATCCACTGTGTGTTTGAACTCCTTGTGGGCTTTCCAAGGTGGAATCTTAAGGCAGTGATAAGAGGGCAGGTAATTTGCCCAGAAAGTCATAGCCTGTCTCTGATCCCAAGCTAGTCTCTAACTTCCTCCTACCACCCAGAAATCCAGAAATTTCCTCCCAAGATCTGAGATCCCCTCCTTCCTCCTCCCATTGTCTCCTACAGGTCCCCTTCCCCAAAAAACACAGGCTGTCCACTCATGTCCACCAGCTCTGATTGTCTGTCTCCTCTGCCTGGGCCTTATAGGCTGACCTCACTTTTTCACACTTGGGCCAATAGGTCATGCCTGGAGGCCAAGGCTGGCAAGAGGGACCCCCCCAGAGCCATCCTAGCATAGTCTTCCTGGTTCCCACAGCTCTTACCGAACGCACTGACTCCAGGCTCACCAGCAGGGACCCTAAAAGCATCAAAGCCCTCATGGCGTCTCTCTGTTGGCCCAACTGCCTGCTCAGGCGTCCAGATCAATGGGGTTGGTCAAAGGTTTCTGAAGCCTGGGAGGTGAGGACAGGTCAAGCTGCCGGCTTTGGCCTGTGGGGGAACAGGCTGTAGAAGGCCAGGCAGAGCAGCTTACTTGATATATCTCCAAAAGAAGGCGAGTTGGGTGGGGTAGAACTGTGATGAGCTAGATTCTCCCTCTCTTTCCTGGGTAGTGGGACTGGAAGGAGGAATAAGAACCAGTGTTGTGTTCTTGGTCCTATTAGGGGTAAATGGGTTAAGAGATCAAAGAAAAGGTCTACTTAGGGATCTTAGGGTCTACTGGGAAGTATATTAATTAGTTTTCTTTTGCTGTGTAACAGACTACCACAAACTTAGCAATTTCAAACATTACTCATGCATTAGTTCACAGATCTGTAGGTCAAAGTCTGGCACTGTGTGGGTTCTCTGCTCAGAGTATCACAAGGCTTCAATCAAGGCTGGGGTCTCTGGAGTCTCTGGGAAAAACCCACTTTCAAGCTCCTTCAGGTTGTTGGCAGAATTCAGTTCCTTGTGGTTGTATGACTGAGGTCCCCATTTCCTTGCTGGCTGTCAGCCAGGGGCTGCTCTCAGCTCCTAGAAACTGCTTAAATTTTTCTAGTATGTGGCCCCCTCCATCTTCAAAGTCAGCAACAGAGAATCTCCCTCATGTTGGATCTTTCTCAAACTTCAAATGTCCTTTGCCAGAAAGAACTCCCTTGTGTTTAAGGACTCACCTGATTGGATCAGGCCCATGAAGAATAGTCTCCCTATTTTAAAGTCAACTGATTTGGAACTTTAATTACATTTGCAAAATCCCTTCACAGAAGCACCTAGATTGCTGTTTCATTGGTGTGTGTACACCAAGGAGAAGGGCTCTTGGGGCTGCTTTAGAATTCTGCCTGGCACAAGCAAGTCAAAACCAAGATTTTTAGCACAAGAACCAATGGATGCTAAAATGTGTGGCTGGAGCACAAGAGAAAGATGGGGTGGGCATGAGTGATTTTTCCTGCCTAGCATGCATTCACCCTGGTTCATTAATAACAACCTGATTTTTCCTTTGGGAACTTACCCTTTCTCACTTCCTTCATAAGCTTCTAGTGTTGCCAGCTCTAGTCTCAGTTCTGGGTGTATGGCCTCAGTCTGGCCCATCAGAGCATGACAGTGATTGGTTCAGGGCAAGCATGTAATACAAGTTAGGCCAATCAGTCTGCCAGAACTTTTGAGAAGTACTTTTCTTTTCAGTGGAGTTGCTAAGCATGAATGATGTGGGCCTGGAGATGTTGATGATCACCTTTGACACTGCTTGGGGAGGGCCTCCCTGAGAATGAAGCCCACAGAAAAAGCAGAGCAAACAGGGAAGGAATTAGGCAGGGATGTGGTGGTAGGCTACCTCCATGATGGTCCCATTGATTCTCAATGTTGTTCAAAAGTAGATTGCCAGGCATTTATTTTCTAGTCCACTGAAACCTGTTCAGCATCATATCAACACGCAAGACATATATATGTGTGGTGGCTGAGCTTGAGGTGCATTGGCCAGCAATCAAATTGGCTCTCCTGCATGGAAAGTGAGAGTTCTACTACTGAACCAGCATTGCCCCCAAAGACAAAAGTAGTAATATATTAATTCTGTCAGGAGAGAGGCAGGCTGTAGAAGGCTTCCTGGGACAGAGACCCAGCAAGAGGAGAAGGGAGGGAAGGGGCATCCCTAGCACGTTCTCCAAAAGTAGCACCTATTCAATAATTTTTTCCAAACGTAGTATGTTGGTGACAGCTGTTAAAACCACGATGAAAGTGAGATTATGAGATGTCAAGATGAGCTCATTAAGGGGAAAGCACGGTTGTCATTCTTGCTTGCACCTACATCCATCCCATGTGGCTTCTTCCCCTGCTGAAAACCTGGCTATCCTCGTGAATGGAAGGGCTTTTTGAATGGGTCTTTAAATGAGTAGGGGTTTGCAGGTGGGAAAGGAAGAAATGATTTCTAGTCAGAGTGGATAATACTTACAACTTCACTTACAACTTCACAGAAGCCTAAAGGCAGCAAGCATGTCAGCTGAGGAATGTGGCTTGAGCACTGAGTGCTGCCTTGTGGGGAGTGTGAGGAATGAGGTTGTGGAGTTCCTTGGGTAAGATGGTGGACATTTGTGGGCTTTTGCATGCTCAACATCTATTCCTCCTTTTTCTAGACTCCCAGTTTCTATTTGGAGGTCACTCTTGACCCATTGTGTGGTGAAAAGGTAATTTCTACTAGGGACCATATCCCACAGGGGAAGCCTATGGACCAGATCACCCTATTACTGTAGCATAACCAGAGGGACCCAAACTTGACCAGTGGATGCTCACTCCCAGGACCCTGAATCTTGAGCAAGCCACACAAAGGCCAGAAAAGTTGGTGGTCTAGCATTGCTTCACCTGTGCCCTAATCAGACTGCGCCTGCTGATTGCATAAATCAGTGTGACTTCTGAAAAACAAATTTAAGCAGTAAGGAAATTCATAATTTCACATCACAAGAGTTGAGTGGGGTGGCTCCAGGAGCAGTGCTCTTAGTAGCTTAACAATGTTATCAAGGACCCAAGTTCTTTCCATTCCTCTTCTCAGTGGTCTTCAGTGAGCAAACTTTCAGGCTGACTCCCCTCATGGTTACAAGATGACTGCCACAGACCCAAGAATCACATCTAAATCCAATAATGTCCAAGCGAAGAAAAGGGGCTTTCCCTTCTAGTAGCTCCCTCTTGGGAATGAGGAAAACTTCCTAAAAAAAAATTTCAAGCCAGAACTGCGCATCGTGAACCTTAAACCAATCTCTGGCAAGGGTAGGAGATCCCATAACTGGTTGGACTAGTCAACCCTGGAGCTATGTCAGGTGTCTGAGGTAAACTGGAAAATTAGGATTCTGTAAACAAGGAAGAACAGTTAGGTTGACAACCACAGTGTCCGCATCAGGGGCATCCTGTATTTCTTGTGTCCTAGTCCTCCAGTGTGCCCTTCATTCCTGCCCATTTCCAAACCTGTTCCTTCCAGAGTTGATGCTGTGAATCCCTCAGGACCTTCCTATACGTTCCCTTTTGTTTAAATAGCTGGAGTCATTTTCTGTTGCTTGCAGCCAAGAACTCTCCCTCTCCTTCACATCTATCTCAAGGCTAATTCACCATCCAGTTCTGTTCATTCCACTGCCTAAATATTTCTCAAATCTCTCCATCTTTCTCCATCCCTACTGCCTCCTTGATTTCCAGAAAATCCAAGGTGGCTACAGCTGAGAAATGTACTTTGAGAGTGTGTGAGTGATAGATATCTCTCATTTCACCTACTTAGCATCCCTTCCCCCTTCTAGTTGTTGTTGTTATGTGCCCATCGAGTCAGACCCGACTCATAGCAACCCCCCCTTGGGTTTCCGAGGCCGTATCACTATGGAAATAGATTGCCCCATCTTCCTTCTGAGGAGTGGCTGGTGGGTTTGAACTGCCAGCCTTCTGGTTAGCAGTCAAGTGCCTTAGGCACTACGCTACCAGAGCCCTCAATTTTTCTTTGGGGAATCACCCCTGCCCTTCCCCCAATCAATGTGGCTAACTTAAAGTTTTAGGAGCTCTGGTGGCATAATGCCTAAGGCATTTGACTGCTAATCAGAAGGCTGGCAGTTCAAACCCACCAGCCACTCCTTGAAAGGAAGATGGGGCAATCTACTTCCACAGTGATACCGCCTTGAAAACCCAAGAAGGGATAGCTATGAGTGGGATCCCACTCCACTCAGGCTGCGTGTGTGGCTACGTAGTGAGGGTGGAGTCAGCATGTGACCCAGGCCTGGCCAATCAGAGCACTGTCTCTTTCTGTCCTCAGTGATTGGTTCAAATGAATACCTGAACTAAATCAAGCCAATGAGTGGCACCCCTGAAACCATCAAGCTGTTTTTTCTTTTTCCAGAGTTTGCTACTTGGTGGGAAGCTTGGACCTGCTAGCAGCCATCTTTAACATCTCAGGGGGAGATCCTGTCTGAGACTAATGACAAAGACAGATTTTGGGTAACACCTCTTGAGACCCTGAATCCAGAGACATTTGAAGTCAGAACTACCGCCTAGTCTTTGCAGTTACTTGAACCAATAAATCCCGCCCCCTCCCTTAGTTGCAACCAGAAGTCCTAACTGATGTAAGAGTTCTTACATAGTTACCAGGAAGTTCCCAAAACAAAACAAAACCCTTCATGATCAGCCCACAAATTCAGTATCTTAAAGGGTGAGGCTGGAAAAATAAAGCATTGGACTTGAGTCAGAAACCTTCAAACTCCATCTTGGCCACTGACCCCCAGTATGATGTGAGTAAGGAGCACAGCCTCCCAGAACCTTAACTGCCATGCCTCTTTGGGAGGAGGTGGGCACTCACACTCTGGCTGAATTGTGATGATTGAATGGGAATGCATGTGAAAAGCAGAGCCTGGCAAATGGTTGGGGCTCAATCTACAGAGGTTTACAAAGAAACTTTCCCACGGGGACACATTCTTCACAGCAATTTCTGCACAACTGCCCCTAGTTGTCCCTGCACATCTGGGTCTCTTCTATCAACTGCTTTGCCAGGGAAAACTTTAGACCAGAGCTGAAATTCACTGACTCTTTTTCTCCTGGCTTCTGTTTCTCTACGGCTGAGACGTGAGTGTATGGGGTGAGTATATGGGGAAACTATCCAGTTGCTGCTCACGGTGCCTGCACACTCACGCATGTATGTGCACACACACGTGCTGTTTCTCTCTAGCAGAGACTTGAGACATAGATTTCAAGAATTTCCAGAACTGCCTGTTCAAAGACAGTTTGGGGGATCAGAGGTACCCAGCCCACCATCCTGCACTCCTTCTCGGTTGGTGACATTGTTCCCCCAGTCATTTAGACTGCTATCATGCAGCCTTTGTACACATAGAAGCCACTCCTTCCTCCCAACCAGCACTGCACGACGAAATTTTCTGTGGTGATAGAAATGTTCTATATCTTTGTTGCCCAATACAACAGACCCTATCCACATGCGGCTTTTGAGTATTTGATTATAACAATAGGGTGAAGCATAGCAACGATTGTGAGAATGGCGCAGGACCAGGCAGTTTTTTGTTCTGTTGTACATAGGGTCATTATGAGTCAGAATCAACTTGATGGCACCTAGTAATAACATGTCTGAAGAACTGAATTTTAATTTTAATTCATTTTAGTTTAAATAGACACTTGTGCCTAGAGGCTACTGTCCTGAACTGCACAGCTCCAGAGGGATCCAGAAGGAGGTTAGTGTGTGGCTGGTGGTACATACTGAGCAAGAAGGAGACAGGCTTGAGGAAATAAGGGAGAGGTAAACAGGGCCATGATCTAGTTGGGCCTTGTAGGCCATGGTGAAGAGTTTGGATTTTAAGTATAATTCGAAGTTATTAGTTATTTATTGCTACGTAATTGTGGTGCAATGAAATACTTTGTATGGCTTTTTTAGCCATAGGTCTTTTTAACTCTCACCGGATTACTGGGTGGGACCATGCAAATAAGGTGTGTAGCACTCTGATATGGAGATTGGTTAGTTTTGTCACTCTGCTAGGCTTAATATGAGCCTTCCTAAGCATAGTGCCTAAGGCACTTGCCTGCTAACCAGAAGGCTGGCGGTTCAAACCCACCAGCCACTCCTCGGAAGGAAGGTTGGGCAATCCTACTTCCGTAGTGATACTGCTTCGGAAACCAAAGGAGGGGTCGCTATGAGTCGGGGCCGACTCGACGGCATATAACAACAACAGAGGCAGAAAGAGGGATCTTACTGCCATCAAGAGAGAGCAGCTGGAGGTGAAGTGATGCATGTCCTTGGATCAAAGATCTCTGTGCTGGACCTCCTTGTCTGAGGGACGCCTACTGAGAGAGACACCTGGCTGAGTGACACTAAGGTGAGAGACAGATGCCTGGGTTAGAGATGGTGGCAGTGGAGCCAGGAGGCAGAAGATGGAGGCGGGCTTTCTGGCCCACAGAGCTGAGAAAGCTGTGTGCTCTTGGGCAGGAGCCTTGCTGGTGGAGTAGGGTGCATGTAGGTGTACCTATCTGTAGAGCTAAAAGAGTTTTGTAACACTCAGTGGATCAGGGCAGAGGCCAGGCCAAGAGGCCAAGGGCCAGAGAGGAGTGCCTGAGGGCATAGCAGAGAGAAGACTGTCCTGATGAATAATTGTATCCTGAGTGTTCCTGACCTGGATTGTAATTGTAACCTGTTACTTCCCTAATAAATCTCATGATCCTACTGTCTGTGAGTTCTGTGTGGCCACTGCAACAGATTATCAAACCCAGCAGAGAAGTAATGAGTTCTGTGGGAGGGATGTCTGGTGTCAGAATTGGTCTGGCTAGAGCATGGTGACATGTCTGGCTTCATAGAAATAAGCCTTGGGCTGCTGCTGCCGATTCTGTCTTTCTCTTGTGAATTTATAGGAGGTCAGAAAATGCCAACCCCTTGCCCTTTTAGAAACAATAATAAAACCCAAAACCAAACCCACTGCCATCAAGTTGATTCCAACTCACAGAGACCTCCATTGGGTTTCTGAGGCTGTAAATCTTTACAGAAGTATATTGCCCCATCTTCCTCCCATGGAGCAGCTGGTGGGTTTGAACTGCTGACCTTCTAGTTAGCCAAATGGCTTACTCATTACGCCACCTGAGCTCCTTACGTAATAAATTGTCCCCAAATTTAACAGCTTAAAAAAACAAAAATTTATGATGTCTGTTTCTGTGGGTTGGGAACCTGCACTGTTTAACTGGGTGCCTCTGATCAAGGTCTCTCAAAGTGTCAGCTGGGGCTGCAGTCACCTTGACTGGGAGAGGATCTACTTCCAAATTCACTCACGGGGCTCTGGAAGGCCAAAGATCCTCCTTGGCTGTTGAGGCCAAAGATCCTCCTTGGCTGTTGGCCAGAGATACCAGCAACTCACCTTGTAGGCCTCTCCAGAGGGCAACATGGGCCAGCTGACTTCTATCAGAATAAGCCTAAGATAGAAGGAGAGAGGGCACCTAAGACAGAAGCCACAGTCTTTTTATAACCTCATCTTGGGAGTGATGTTTCATCACCTTTCCTGTATTCTTTTCATTAGAAAGGAGCCGTTAGGTCCAGCCCATGCTGAAGGGGAGGGAATTACAACAGGGTGTGAATACCAGGTGGGAAGAAGGGGTCACTGGGGCCATCTTACAGGCTGCCTACCACAGGAAGCCACTGAGGGGTTCTGCACTGGAGATGACCAGGTTATGTTTATTTACACTTGTTGTTTTAAAAATAGGCAATACAGTTACATGATGCAGAACCCAAGGCCCAAAAAGGATATGATGAAATGCCTCCCTCTCACCTCTGTCCCCAGCCACCTAATTTCCCCTTTCCAGAGGCAAGTGATGTTTCCCATTCTCCTTCTAGGCATATGGTAGTTATTCCAGTTATCTATTTCTGTGTAACAAGCCAGTCCAAATTTATCCAGATGAACCCTTGAAACTTTTGTCCTGAGGACGGTGAAGTTGACGATGCTTCCTCCTGCCATCCCTGCACTAAGAACTTCCCCAACCCCTGTTCTACCACACGCGCAGGGTGCCTGACTCTCTTGCCAACACCTCAGTAATCCCAGCACCTTTGTGCCTGGCACAAAGCCTATGCTCTATAGGTATTTGGGGATGAATGAATGAACAGGGATCAGTGAAGCATGGCTCTCTGGCTTACTGCAGTTTGGGTAAACCTCTATTTCCTGTTGTGTGAAGTGAGGGTAGGAGGAAGTGAGGTGTTGACTAGCTGTAAAATTTCGCCCTTGTTTTTCCCCTAGTCTTTGGTTTCAAGCCAGCCACTTGACCTCTGGGGCCTCAGCTCCCCACCTGTATAATGGGCGTGAGTTCATCTCAACGTCTAGGGGTATAGTGCGGCCTTATAAGGCAGAAGAGGCCAAGGGTGAGCGAGCTCGTGTGGGTGGAGAGAAATCACAACATCCGGCTGCGGGGACGGGGCGGAGGCGGCAAGGCAGCCGGGTCGGAAGACCGGTAGCTTTTGAGGAGGCTACCTGCCTCCTGTGGGACGCTCCTCGCTCCCGAAGCGCGCCCTCCACGGTGGGCTGGCCCAAAAGAATACCGCCCACAGGCGGGCGGGGATACTGAGCGAGTCCCCAACAAAACCCTAGGAAAGCGGTAGGTGAGCCAAAGGAGCCTAGGCCACGCCCATGGACCCACACCCCTATTGATAGCCCAATCAGAATGCAGCTCTGGGAATGACTGACGTTTCCTTTATCCAATCAACCCTTTGGTCTCCTGGGAGTGACCCAGAGGACATCCCCCCACCTCTGTTGTCCCTGCAGATGGCTAGCCCCTATTTGGCAGTTCTATATCCTACGACCCCACCTACTTTCTGCACCCCACGAAAGGAGCTTTGGTGGTGTAGTGGTAAGAACATTTAGCTGCTAACCAAAAGGTTAGCTGTTCAAATACACCACCCAAGCCGAGAGAGAAACATGAGGCAGTACGCTTCTGTAAGGATTTACAGTCTTGGAAATCCTACGAAGCAGTTCTACTCTGTCCTTATAGCTCGCTATGAATCATAATCGGCTTGATGGCAGTGGGTTAGGGTTTCGTTTTGCTATCCTAGGAAGGCCCAGAAATTCGAACCTAAGAGCTGAAACCCGCCCTCAGGCCAACCGGGGAGAGGTGACGTAATTAGCCCCACCCCTCTGCTCCTGTGAGCGAATCCCTCACTCGGGGGGCGGAGAATGATGAAAAAGTAACCCAATGAGAAAACGGCGCGGGGAGCGCCCGCCCGTTTACTGGCAGAGTAAGGTAAAC